GGAGGCCACAGGATGCAGCAGGGACAGTCCACAAATGAGGGTGCCTGGGAGACAAATGAGGAATCTAGTCCCCTTCCGGTCAGGGGCTAATTCCTCCCTGAGAAAAACCACAGAGGACCTTCCTGCCTCATGTCATCCTTCCAAATAACATCCCCTTAGGATGGAAAGCCCCTCAGTACAAAAAGGGGGCTTGGTCGTCAGCCCCTCCCCCTGCACATGTTGAGGCATCTTCAGCTCCTTCAGTGAGGTCCTCAGCTTCAGAGCTGGAGCGAGCTCAGGAAATTGTGGGATCCAGCCTATTTCCCAGGTCCTTCCGAGACAGCTGAGAGGGCAGTGAGTAAGCCCTTAACCAACGCAGCAGGCAGGGAGCCTTCCTCCTGGTGCAGGTGGAATCATACTGGGTGATGGGGTCCCCACCTCGGGCCTCCACTCAAAGGGAACGTGCTGCTGGGCACCAGCAGAGGCCGGATGCAGGGCTGCATTCAGGAGTCGGAGGGACAGCCATGCGGAGGGTGGATCAGGCTCTAGGTCATCTCTGGTGGCCCTGAGGCCCCCACGGCTCGTGTGGAAGCTTCCTTCCCCTCCCCATGGGAAAGCGCTTTCTAACACTCAGTGCTGACCACAGATTCAAAGCAGGGATAGTAAGTTCTGCCTCCCCAAAGGCTCTCCCACACAGGCCAGCCCTTTCGAGGGCCTGAGATCCCAGAGCAGTCCAGATGAGCATTTCTCAAAGTTCGGTAGTTGCCAGTCCTTCCCCCACCTGTTCCATGACTGAGCTTTCCTGATGCTAGCTACTTTTTTATTTTGAAATTTTTATTTTACTTTTTATTTGTATATATTTTAAGTTTGTTTATTTATTTTGAGAGAGACAGACAGAGTTCATTCGAGGGGGGGGCAGAGAGAGAGGGAGACAGAGAATCCCAAGCAGGTTCCAGACTGTCAGTGCAGAGTCCCACACGAGTCTTAGACCCATGAACTGTGAGATCATGACCCGAGCCGAGATCAGGAGTCAGACACTTAACCTACTGAGCCATCCAGACACCCCTAAAAATAAATTTAAAAAATAAGAAATTTAGGGGTGCCTGGGTGGTTCAGTCGGTTAAATGTCCGACTCTTGATCTCAGCTCAGGTCATGATCTCACAGTTATAGATCAAGCCTCCCATGGGGCTCTGTGCTGACAGTGTGGAGCCTGCTTGGGATTTTCTTTCTCTTTCTCTCTCTCTCTCTCTCTCTCTCTCTCTCTCTCTTTCTCTCTCCCCCCTTCTCCCGCTTGTGCTCAAGCTCACTCTCTCTCTCTCTCTCAAAATATATAAACATGAGACAATTTTAAATTTAAAAAAGTTACTTTTAAAGTAACTGTGTAACAATGAAAATCAAAGCATTTCTATGCAAGGCTTAAATCTATCTCACTTGCCCCCTCGGTATTTGTGTTGCCCTCTGGGAAGCCCCAGACCAACAGCCTTTAAGATTCCTCCCAAGCAGGACACCAGTGGTCAGAGAAGATGAGGAGACAAAGCCTGGAAACTTCTCTGTTCTTTACTAGAAAGCAACACTTTACTAATTGAACATTGCAGAGCAAGGTCCTGTTCCAATGAGTAAAAAAAGTAAAATAAAATAAAAATCCTTTACTCTTAGTTTTTAACTACGCTCTAGTCTTATCTAAGCCAGATAGGATGAGTCAGTGGGAAAAAAAACCCAACACGTTCCGGTAGGCTTTCACTGAATAAAAATGTCATATAGTTGTGCGTTTATGTGAACTTGCCTCTGCAGTATCCCAGGTCCCCACAGACAGAGAGACGGAGACACAGAAACAGGGACAGAGACAGAGATAGGGAGACAGGAAGAGAGAGAGACAGCAAGGAGGAGGACCCCGTAAGGGAGAAAGGCAAGGGAAACCGGAGCTTGAACTCGGCCAAGCACACACAGCTTAGAGAACGGTGTGAGCCCTGAATGGGGCTAGACGCCGAGGAACACCTAACTGCGTCTGTCAGGATCGCAGAGACCCCTGAGGATTGGTCCTAGGCAAGGACGGGCCTTCTCTGTGGAGGCGACAGATACTTCCTGGCATCTGTGGAGAGGGACTCCCTCATGGCTGCTTTCCGCCCCGATGGGGGTGTGAGGTCCTGTCTGAGGGAGAGCCCACAGCCCACCGCCGAGCCCCCGAGGCCCATCCCCCTAACGCCATAGGGTGTCGCCCGCCACTCAGGTCAAGCCGCTCCTGAATGTGGCTCGGCAAGAGGAGGAGATGAAGGCCAAGGAGGAGGAGCTGAGGAACGCCATGTGCAAGACACAGGAGCTGATAAGCAGGGTAAAGGAGCTGGAGGAGAAGATGGCCACGCTCAGCCAGGAGAAGAATGACCTCACCATCCAGCTACAGGCCGTATGTGGGGCCCCGGAGGGAGGGCGGGAGCTGGGGGCCCTGGCAACTACCAGGATCCCCGGGGCCACTAAGAGCCAGACCCAGGGAGGCAGGTGGGGGGTGAGCCTTCTGAGAATCAGCATACGAGAGAGACCCCCGTAATAAAAGAATCACCTGCTTATGGGAGCACCTATATATGGGCCCCACCCCTTAATGCCTCACAGTGATGATTTCCCTTATTTTTCAAAGACCTGAATTTCAGTAATGTTATGCCACAAACCGAAAGTCACACAAATGGTCTGGTTTGAGTCTGTGGCCGGTTGCTATTTACGCCACTGACCCCATCTTGGGGAGACCCCAGTGGACACCCAGGGTGTCCCTCTTCTGCCATGTACTGTCCGTTTGACCTTTGACGACCCCACCTCCTCCGAATATCAGGTCCCTCATCTCTAAACTGTCGCTTACAGTGACATCTGCCTCGTTTGCTTCTTGGGGTCGTTATAAGGAGGAACTGTGGGTGGGAAATGGTTCATTAACACAAAGGTGCTAAAACGATGCTGGGAGTCATTTGGGCAGATAGTCACTCCCCATTGGCAGACGGAAGCACAGGCACTCCTGGGCTCAGCCCCACCTACCGGCGGTGTGCAGCCTATGTGTCCTCGACTTGTCCTGGACCACTGGCTACATCCTTCAGGTGCACCTGACCACCTGGGATCTGTTCAAAGGCAGATTTCAACACAGCAGGTCTCAGGTGGAGCCTGAGCTCTTGCGTCCTAACCAGCTCACGAGTGATGCAGCTGGTGGCCTGGGGACGGCACTGCGAGACTCTGTTCTGTCACACGCATCACAAGGAGCTCGGAGCCAGTGCCCAGACCCCTGTGGGACCCCCTCTGACCGGCGCTTTTTCTTCCACCAGGAGCAAGAGAACCTGATAGATGCCGAGGAGCGCCTGACCCAGATGATGAAGACGAAAATGGAGCTGGAGAGCCAGATCTCGGACATGCGGGAGCGGCTGGAGGAGGAGGAGGGCACGGCGGCCTCCCTGAGCGCCACCAAGCGCAAGCTGGAGGGCGAGATGAGTGACCTGAAGCGGGACCTGGAGGGTCTGGAGACCACACTGGCCAAGATGGAGAAGGAGAAGCAGGTGAGGAGGCCTGGGGCCTCACTACACCCGCCTCGGGAACAGGAAACCCTGTGGGG